CAGCTCACTCCTCTTAAAACACAAAAGTAGAATAATAAGAGATCTGCATTCTATATAGGTATGGTTTGAGTCTGGTTTGATGAAGTTAGTAAATCAAAAAGAACTGAAATTCAAAGAAATTCATTAGTAATTTTGGTAACACTTTATTTTAAAGGTGGGGTAAGCGATTTTCCAAAAACGCTTTGGAAAACTGATTCGGGCCGAGTAGCAAAACAAACTTGTAGCCAATCAGCAGTAAGGGGCGTGTCTACTCATGATGTGGAGGAGAGAGCATTCAGTGCACAGGACGGACATTAGCCGAGCCGAGCGTCAGAAAGATAGAGATGGCGGATAAAAAAAACAAAAGAGGAAAACGTCTGCGGAACAAAAGAAGGCTTAAGGCAAGAAGTAGGACCCGTGTATCGGATCAGCTTTCCAGCGCTGGAGAGAATTCAAGGAGCGGAGGCCTGCGATCGGATGCCGAGGTTGCTTTGTTTCTTCTCGATAGGTGAGTAACACCGTGTCTGTGCCGCAACAGCTAAAGTCTGTCTAGTACACTGGACGCGACAAAGCGACCGTTAAAAATCATTTGAAATTTTTGTCAATACGTCATAAATAAAATGCGGCAGCAGTTTTCTGTCAGGGATCTGTCGTGTCGTGTCATGCCGCATCCAGTGTAGACCATTGGTAGTTCACTGAAACAAAATAAGTTATGTTGAAATACTAAAATTAAAACTGAAAAAAAAAATAATAATAATAAAAATGACAAAACCACATAAAATAACTAAAACTTATAATTTAAAATGAAAACTTAAAATATAATAATAAAATCTAATTCAAAATATTAATAAATACTATACAAATAATGCTAAAGTAATAGATCAATAACACAGAAATGTTTAAGTTAAAATCAAACTCATCTTTGCTCTCAAACCCTCACTTCGGTTTTCTCAGGATCTTTCCCAGCATTAATGTGGAACAGAGCAGAAACGGCAACACCCGACAGAGATGAAGAGTGAGAGTCCTCCATCTCTTGCTCCTGGTCCAAGAAGCGCTAAACTGCATTCTGGAGGTTAAGCATCTTGGCTGTGAGAGCTTGTCATTTCTGAAGATGAAGCTCATCCTTTATTCAGCTTCACGGAGCAAACACAGGTGCCATGCTAAACTAATGTGCCCTAAGTTATCTCTTCCAGTAAAACATTATTCATCCCAATCTGCAGGAGTGTTTGTTGGCAAGCGACAAGCTCATCACTGCTTACCTTCTAACCTTTGCTGTAGATAACACACCTGTCTAAAGATATTCAAGGTGATAATGGTATAAATGATAAGAATAATGACAAAGAAAACAAAAGCAAGGCATTTTAATTGCAAGGCCAGCATATGGTGCTCAGAAACAAAACATTACTACTGTAAAACTGAAAAATAAATAAATAAATAAACAAATAACAAATTAATTTATGTATTAAAAATAAATGTAATTAATTAAAACAAAAGAATAATAATAACTTTTTTAATTAAAAGTAATTCATTTAATAAAAAAGAAATCACTACTTCTACTACTACTAATAATAATAACAGTAGAGTTTCACTGTAATTCACAAAAAAAAATGTTAAGATTCTTTTTGCAGTTAACTCATGTTTGCAGTGCACTCATGTAACCATACAATTTCAGCTATGCTTTCAGGAACGGGGGGGGCAAGGAAGCGAGGGTCCTCATACAAACATTTCAGCACTGGATTCCTCCTGTCTAAAAATATGTTCACGGGTCCCTATCGCTTGACATAATCAAGGGGAATTTGTCTGCGCATCACATGTGGGCCGCAGCACATGTTCAGATCTCTCTCTGCCTCAGGGGCTGTCTTTGGGCTCTCAAGAGCAAGGATTAGCTCAAGAGCTCATCCAATTCCCATCTTTTGTTGCACATGTTTTTTTGTTTTTTTTTCTGAACAGTTTTTCAATTTTTTTCCCCATGTGTCAAATCCCCTTGCCATTCTATGGCATCCCACTAGGCAAACTGTTCCTTTTCTAGAAACATCCACTACTCTGCTTTTCTAAGTTACAGATTCTCCAATTAGTTTAGCACTAATCTACCAGGCAAGTGGTCTGGAACCTCTGCTATAAATCAGCCGCTGACATAGACCATAAAAACGGGGGAAATTTCATAATTTCACTGTATGCGACTAATGCTAAATGTGAGCATACACTAAAAAAGCACTCGAGCATGACTGCTAGCAAAACTCATCGTACAGACATCAGTCAATCAAAAACGGGCTGCAGCGTTTTCTCCGAAGGTCCGCAATAATCTATAACAGCTGTCTAAACGTCCCACTGAACCGGACTTGCATTAAGAGTACAACCAGAGCATGTTTCACGTCAATATGTGAATTATTGAATAAATAAATATAGAAGGGAAGCTAAATACATGTGTGGAATGTGCATGTAAGAAAGCGGGTACTGTAACAGCACTGCTTAGGGAAAGAATAGAGCGAATATAGAGCGAAGGATACACGGCCCCTTTCCTGGCTTCTCCTGTTCTACCTAATGAGGCCTGTAAGAATCTCTGGGCTAAGTTTTGGAAGTAAATATATATCCCAAATCCCCCAGACTCATTCATGACCTTCTACGTGGGCTGCAGCAGTGAAGGTCTGTGTACGCCATAAGATAAAACCGAGTAAACAGAATCGCTAATTAGCATTTAACTCCCAGTCACTCGTGGCAGGCATGTGCATTTCTCACAGCCAGAAGCAAATTTCTGCAAACTTAACCACGCGATTCCAACCTTGTAATGATGATGACGCCAGAACTCTCCATCCTTACGATGAGATTAAAGTGGTTCATCAAGTGCCGAAGTTAGCGATTTGTCCCGCAAAGACGGTCTCATCATGGCTAATTGTGAGAGATCCTCTCAGGGGCCTCTGCTGGTCTGGATGGAGGAGCTGATTGGTCTGTCTCGCACATGGCTCCTCTGGTTGTGGCCACCATGGATTAAAGCAGATCCATAACTCATGCGCACCAGATGGTGGAATAGGGTCAGCAGCTGGAACAGCGCACGATCAGACTCCACGTCTTCCCGGTTCAAAGCTGCTGGTCTTTGGCCAGCTTCATTAAAGCCTGAGGTTGTCTGATAATTTACAGAGCTGAGAAAGAATCTGAATATAGTTGCAATATGGAAAATATGAGCCATATCCATTCCAGCTGTTTCAATGGCTATAAGACATTCAGTATGCATGGTTCTTTAAAAGCTAGCAAGCAAACTAATGCCTTTGTTATGACTTAGTAAGAATAAAAAAATCCATTTCATTCCATGACTTACTGGAAAATGTTTTGCCAGTTAGTTGCAATAATTGACCCTGACACTTAACTATACATGAAAAAGCTGATCAAACTCAGTAATTACAGTCAAAATTAGGGCTGGGCGATTAGGGCTATTGCCATATAATTTTCCTTGATAAAACGATAACAAGAGTTTGATAAATGTCCGATATAATGTTTATGCGGCAAAAGCATAACGAGACTGCGCTACTCATTTGAATCACGCTATGAAACCACGAAACACTGTGCGCAACGATACAGTCAGAAGGCTTTTCAATCTACAAATCGCCATCATTTACCATGGATTTACTGTAGTAACACTAACTGCACCATGATATTGTGGCAGAAATGTGGGATATTCATAAAAAAATTTATTACAGTATTAATGTAGACATGTATTAACTGCACTAAAGAAGTAATGGAATATAATTACAGTATTTTTTGTGATTAAGCCATAGCGTTAATGCTAGGGACTGGCCTGTTTGAACACACCTGTAAAGCACTACATATAAAGCATTATATTTGAGATCAATCACACACCACACTATGAAAACACTCTTTCTGTAACAACACACTGAAACGTCTAAAACATGGACAATGGATAACTAAATGGATTGCTAAAGCATACAAAATACACAAAATACTGTAGTACAATTGTGTACTCAAGAATGTTTGAATATTTGGTTTAATTTTGCATTCTCTCAACAATCAAAATGCTATTTTCAATTACTAAGATTATGCCTTCTCAGTTTTAGAGTAAAGCTGACTAAAATTAAAAATCACAATGAAATGGAAGTAGTGATAGATCTTTGCAATGTGTAATGGACTATTGATAAAGAAAAAGTACAACAGGGACTTGATGCTAAGCATTGGTTGGTGATTGAATGAAAGCAGATCAGATGAATGTGGGCTTGAGGTAGATTGTAAGAAAGAGATGGGGTTTATGCAGACTAAATTATTGGCATTAGTCATCAAAGAGTATTCTGTCATTTCACCAGAAGTTCGAGTTATGACATTGATATAAGAAAAAAAAAAAAAAGATAAAAGAAATTACGATGCCAAATGAATGTAAAAATAAAACGAAACATGCATGAATGAATCATTCATAAGAAGATCAGTAACATGCATTTAGAAAATAAATGAATTTCTTTTTACATTCCATTTCATCATGTAATTTTCTGCAATGAATATGAAATGATGAAATATTTACTAAATTTAAGGAATATTTTCATCAAAAGACAAAGACTTGTGTCTAAAACAAAACAAATCATGTAAAAATTCCCCAAGTGTGAATTACGTTCAACATCTGGCTTTAGATCTGCTTCATGTTACAAAATGTGAGAATTAATGCTGCAACAACAAGAGCAACTGTTATTCACTGAGGGGGGCACGACAGCACAACCACTAAAGCTCATGTGGAAACCAACAGAAAATGTTGCCTGTTTGTCTCTTTATCTGAAATTTTTCCTCAGGCCCTGCTGAAAGGAGCGGCATGGGTTGAGTTGCAACCATCCAACGATCGACAACAAATGTGCAGACAAGGGAGTGTGTCTTACAGCAACACCACCATTGTGCAATCATCTTCAAAACTGTTATTTTGCCGACTTCAAGATTTCAAAACACAGTCTTGAAAGCATCAACTGAGTCACAGAGCTGCCTGTCTGAAGTGGACTGTTTCTAAAGTCTGTCTTAAAGGCTTTTATACTCACCACAGATCTCAAAGTATTGTCCTTCATCAGCTTGAGGGAGCATTTGTAGCATGATTCGAGGTCATCTCTTTGGAACTGGCCCACATTTCCTCTGGCGATTGGGCCGACAGTATGGATCACATCTGGAAAAAGAAAAAAGCAGAGCAGTTTAAGTCTGTACAATGTCAAAAACTTAAAGCTCTCTCTGTATAATTCGTAATGTAAATATGTGCCACTGTAGATAACATGGATTTTCAATTAAAACTCTGACACTGCTTAACACCAGGACAAATCCCACATGACAAACAACAAAACAAAGCTTCCTGTCAGATCTTCAAAGGCAAGTCATACAAGAGAATGACAAATAGAACTGCTGAGGATCATGGGAACGTACCCGCACATTCCCAATTCTACTGGGTACAAAACAGCTTCTTTTTCTGCAACGTTATCACACTACAAAAACAAGAGTCAACCAACAATGGAACAAAGGGGCTGATTTGAACAAGTAAAAAAAAACTGCCCAAAGTCAAGTACATTTATTCAGTTAATGAAATGGAAGAGCAGATAGAAAATCAATTACTCCATCCTTTTATCCTATCTATTCATACATTCATATCGGCTCGTAGCTGCCCTCCTGCTGCCTGTGCATAGTAATGTGTTGGTTGTCAGTCAGCGTGAGGCTGGTCTGAGGCGAGAAAGCTGAGGGAATTCAATCATTGCAGTGATGACAGGGGAGTTAAGGAAGCTGCACATGAGTCTGAGAGAGAAATAATGTAGCCCTTCCTGTCTGACTCCTCCAGGCCCTGGAATGTGGGTGGCAGTGGGCAATTAATAACAATAAACAGGTTGAATTTCTAGGCCTGTTCACGCTGCCATTGTGGCCCTCACTTCTTTTACAGTCAGCATTTTACAGCAGACAACCAACAATACAGCTTTACAGAGAGCTCTTTATTATTATCTGTGCATTTCAGATGTTACCAGCATTTCTAAAGTTGAAAACCGGGTGAATTTTTTTAAGGTGTTACCACAAGGATATTTTGTCAGCTGCTTGGTTTCTATTCCTGCTGCGTCACACTGAGTAGCCCCACTTATACCGAGATCTGATTGGTCCAAACTATGCTGCACATAACTATATATTAAACACCAAGTATGTTCAGATTGGCTATTATTGTTCCACATAGCACATCATTCTCACTTTCAGTGAGCAGACAAATTAACTGACGTCTAATAACAAATAAACTAAGTAGTTTATCACTTCATTATCTTAAGTGGGAAATCATTAAAGTGCACGTGAATGTAACCGTACATCATAAAAATACAATTAAAAAAACACATTTGGTAAATTCCAGAATTCTGTGTTCTCTATAAACATCTGTGGTTGAAATCACAAATTACTTGCAGAGGAACATCCTACAAGATGCATATCTGAGCATGTTCAGTAAGTACCTGCTGTCATAATAGTCTGATCTTTTTTCTTAGCTTACAAACATGCAAATGGACAAGGACGAAAGAGCCTGAAATATCCTGCTAATTCAGACCTAATCTAAATATAAACGTGCTGGCACAATAACTAATTTCTAATGACAAATTAGAGAAAACAGAGAAATCATCTGAGTAGTGTACTTTTCAAATACATTTCAATCGGAAAGTTTAAAGTGGTAGTTAAATTGTAAAGACAGAGAGAATGAAGGAATGAACAGTCCGTCGGTCGATAGATTGACAAATTAGACGATAGACAGATTTGATGGCTCTTGAGGGAGTATTTGTAGCATGATTCAAGGTCAACTCTGTGGGATAGATAGATAGACAGACAGACAGATAGATAGACGATTAGACATGATTTTCTATCTATTGTTTATTGTAACATCATGTCTTTTGTACACAGTTAACATAACCAAAGATCAGCTGTTAATGCTGTCATGGTGAATGTACAGAGACTGTCACAAGTATAAATTGCCCTTTGCCGCACACATCTGTTCAGCTAAAGTCTGTGTACAGAAAGGATCGGGAACGAGGAGCGTGTTTGCATTATTCAGGCAAAGATTTCTATCTTTAGTGGTTCGCCAAATGAGAGCTGGGAGTGTGAGGAGGGAGTGTGAGTGCTTTTCTCATTACATAATTCTGTTCTTTATGAATAAAAACTCAGTTAATTATTGATGTGTTCTCACCAGTTGTTTTTCAATCCACCAATGACAAGCTGCCTTTCAGGGTATACACAGACAGACACATTTCAATAGTTTCTCTCTCTCTCTCTTAAAATAGGACATCTCTAAAGAAGACATAATGCAGACTAGGGATGCACCGATACCACTTTTTCCAGTACTCGCCCGATACCAATACTTTTATTTTTGGTACTTGCCGATACAGAGTACCGATACCAATATTTTTATTGCATTTGTAAATTTTTTAAATATTGGGTACAGAAACCAAAAGAGTATGTATAATGTTAGTTGGTTAACTTAATTGATCAAATAGATACAGTCAAACCAAAATGTAAAATATAACAAGAACTCAGAGTTAAACTGTGTCAGAACAAATTTAGCTTGATAATGTTAGATAACTTTGATAGAAAGGTATGTAATGGATTACAGTCAACCAAAAATTATTCAGACAGTATGACAGTATTTACACAA